TTATATCATGCACATTAAAACACTTCCCTGTCATTTGAGCTAAAGGCTCTGGAATATTTTCATTGAAAGCATTTCTTAGACAACAGTTATCTTGTTGTTTAACAGTTATCTAGTACATTACAAGTGGCCTAGTAGAAGAGGTCACAGTCACTAAGACCAGGAACTTGTTTAGTTAAGCATTTCATCCTTAAATGTGCTTAAAGATGTAGTCAGCTGTTGTAACTGAGTGTTTACTTTATTTTGCCTATCAGAGATGTCCTAGCAGCATCCGTAAAAAGGTGTTGCAGACTGACTTTGCTGAGACGTTCTTGTCCAGTGTGCCAGTCCTGCAGTGGGCGAATCATTTCTCTAAGGCAGAATATGAGCGGTTATCCCACTACCGTGGTGCCCATGGATGGGGTAGTGTCAGTATTGATGGTGAGTTCCTCTGGTACTACTAGGATTTTCTATTTATATGAGAGTAAGTGCAGTGACAGAGTAACATGTTGGCCCATTAAGATGATGTCAGCCCTGGAGTGCCAGACTGGGCATAGTGTTAGCTTGTTGCTGCAGTACACAGTGGCTGAAGCATGACACATCTTTTTATTCATGTAGACTGCAAACAGACTTAACCTGTTTAAAGTAAGACTGAACTTGTATAAACAGGAAAATGCCTAGACTTCTAATTGCATATGCACTTCCTTGAAGTGAAGCCAAAATGTGTTTAATACAGAAAATATTTATACCAGTCTGATTTATTTCCAGTTTTGAATGAATCTCTGGCCATCTTAAACACTTCTGCAAACCGGCTGATGTTTGACGACTGTGAGAAGAGAAAGATTAAATCACAGTGTATCCGCTGTGCTGTGGTTGGAAATGCAGGAATCCTGAATGGGTCAAAGAAAGGCCTGGAGATTGACCAGAACGACTACGTATTCAGGCAAGATGATATTTGGGCTGTCCTTTTCAGGAAAATGCAGTGTCCTGCAGTCCACTGCAAACCACTGACCTGACCTCAACATCACTGTTTATACTCTGATTAATGCTAGCCATTAATAAACCACCTGTTCAATTTTTTGTTTTTGCTATATACTGAGATCAAAAGATGAATATATATGATATGATAGATCAGAATTCCAGCTTCAGAAGTGTGGCTTTGTGCAATTCTCACTGCATTCAGCTGAAAGTTTTATTAAAAAAGGAGAGAAAATTTAAGTATGTGCTCAGACACACACAGCCTCAAGATAAATTGGACCATATATTTATCTTAGCTGTGTGCACTTGGCTACATCATTAATTTTAGTATTATTCATCCCAAAACAGTTCAGACTGTGCAAACTGTTTTTTTTTTAGCTTGGAACCAAAGGCACAAAAGTTTAAGTAAAAGAGCAATATGCAAAATATTAACGAATGAACAAAATAGAAATGGTGTAACTAATTCCTCCCTCTCTCTCCTTCAGGACAAATGGTGCAGTTATTAAAGGCTTTGAGGCAGATGTTGGCTCACGTACCTCTTTCTATACCTTCTCCACTAACACCTTTCGCAACTCTTTGAGAAGTTATGCACGTGTAGGCTATAAAAGTGCTCCACAGAGCACGGTAAGGGACAGTCCAACTCTACGTACTTCACAGAGGCCACCAAAAAGGGATTTTGAATAATCCAGCTCGGTACTGTTTGAAAAAAGTTCTAAAAAAAATATGTAAACAAAAACAGAAGAACATTGTTCTGTTAAAAGCTACTGGTTATTACGTAGGTAGTTAGACTGTAACTTGGCTAATACTAACTAACTGGTGAATGTATGTTTCTATGCTTAAGTAGAAGATTAAATAGATGTTAGATGAGACATTAACTATTTCTTCTGTAACTTGCTGGTAAGAAGTATAACTCCAGGCAGCTTTACCGTGCTAGCTTTGCCAGTTTGCAAGTCGGTTTTATAAGACTGAGAAATCAATAGCTAGGGGAACTACAGCTCATTAACAAGAGAACCTAATTGACAAGAGAAAGGAAAATGAAATTTCATTAAATTTTTTTTTTTTCATGCTCCTTTTAATGTTTTTGCCCCACTTTCCCTTACTTCACATTTCCAGGAGACCAGGTACATTTTCCTGCCTGATCATGACCGGGACTATATTCTCATGAGAGCTGCATCTTTGCACATACCAATCACAAAAGGCAAAGACCGGAGTTCTAAGTAAATACTGCAGATTTTACAAATTTAATATCTTAATATAATTTTCAGGATAAGTATGATTTTAGATATATAAACTGGTAAATAACATCTTTTCTGGTCCTCATAGGCCTCCCAACTATTTTGGATCTAATGTAACTGTAGAGAAGTTTAAAATGTACCACCCCGATTTCATCCGTTACCTCAGAAACAGGTGAGATTAGGTGTTTAAAGACATTGTTTCTGGATAATGTATAATAGCTTAGGCAATGTGAGTATGGTGTGATGTGGCCTGATACAAGGTGGATTATTTTCAACAACAATTTCATTTTCACTTGAGAAAGAATTCATAATTTTAATCAGTTTATTAACTAAGAATCTTATTATTATGAATATTATTTAGTGGGCAATACTTCTGTGTCTTTTGAAATTAGTCATCATTTATGTGTTATCATTTATATTATAGAACATATATAAACTGTTGATCACCAGCCTCTCACCTGTATTTTACTTTCTTACTTGAAGTCAGCAAGACAAAATAAAAGCAAATATTTTGTCAAATTTTTCCTTGAACTTCAGTACACCTTGTAGGGCTTGTAAAGATTTTGTGTGCAGACTCAAAAGTATTACCCACTAAGTAATATTCAGATTCTGCTTTTATGTTCTTAGTTAGTACTGTACTTACTTATATAATATTAATTTAACACTTGGGCATTCTTGATCTTCCAACTTATCAATTAAATAGGTCCAAAGTATTTCATTAATACATTTAGCCATTAACAGTATAGAAATGTACTGTTCAGCTGTGTCTGTAGGCTACAGTATCATTTCTCTTTGTCATGCTGTAGGTTTCTGCATTCACGCAGACTCAAAAGCAGACTTAGAAACATCTACAGGCCATCTACAGGAGCCGTGATGCTGCTGGCTGCGCTTCATACATGTGATGAGGTAGAAGCGTTTTTCTTTAAATAGATTTAGTTCTTTCAAATTCAGTCTAAACCATGTGCTGTATTGTCAGCATATTTTTATTTTAGAGATATTATTAAAGGGTATTTTTATGATAATTACCTCTGCCCAGTCCTATACAAACAAATCCAGGCTCTTTAGATTACCACTACATTAAACTTTTTAAATGAGTTTTATTAGCTTTGTAATATCAATCAATTCTTTTGTCATTCTTTCAACTGTATTCATTGGTAATTGAAAAAAAAAATAGCTTTGTGAAAACTGATCTTTCTATTTTATTTGTTGTAATTCCAAAAGGTAAATGCCTACGGATTTATGACACCAGACTACAAGAAGTACTCAGACCATTATTATGACAAAGTACCTCGCCGAGTACATTTCTACGCCAACCATGACCTGCAATTGGAGTTGAATCTGTGGCAGAAGCTGCACAAGGCAGGACTGATAAAGCTCTATATGCGATGATATAGATGAGCCTAACTTTATTGAGCCAAACTGGACTATGGCATCTAAACCCTCTCAGGATTTGAGGTGTTATATGCTGTAGATAAAAATCTTGTGACATTTTATTACCTTTGAATTTGGGCTACTTCACCTAAACATAAGGGTAAAGGTAAAGGCAAGATTTTTAAAAAAATGTATTTATAAACTTTATAAACTACACGACCCGTAAATCAGTTCAGGTACTGTGAAGTTACAGCTGGTGAAAATGGTAATGACCTTTTAACTGTGTTTAAAGGGCCAAGGTTCCTAAACATTTGGTGAACGTGTGACCTGTGTGTGACCTGTGTGTGACCTGTGTGTGACCTGTGTGTGACCTGTGTGTGACCTGTGTGTTAAATGAAGGAAGCACTGTGCAAGTGCGAGTTGTAATTCAGTACCTCAAGTTGTAGAACCACATTGAAGGAGATTCTTATATAAAGTTTATACAACATAATTTACATATTTGTGGACATTAATCTTTAATACTTCCATGCCAGGTAGGTAATCTTTTTAAGACAGGGAAAATATTATGAAGGCTATATGTGGATGATAGGGCTATTAGGAATACTATTGGTACCTCAAGTTAAATAGAAATAACAGCTGATGAAAATGTCTCAGTATATTTCCTTACACGCATGCCAGGAGGTGAAGGGCTTCAACTAAAAGAGACTTTTGCCTTTCTTGAAAAAAATGACTCTCGTTTTAATTTCATTCATTATTAAATAAAGGGACTAGGTTTGTCATGACTTCTGATTGATTCATTTGATTTGAAGTAAATAGTTCAAGGTTGTCATATTTGTCACTGGCTTGTAACTCATTCATGTTTAGCAGACTGAAAGGATTGTTTAATTGCACAATACCCAGCACATAGTACAGGTACTTCACACACATGTAATTACATTAACATATAATTGTTTATTATATATATTATGTATATTATGTATTATTATGTATATTATATACATGTATATTAAACATGCAATTATACAATTATTGTCCTGGAATGAGCACAAGACAGTCTTTATGATTTACAGTAGCAGCTATTGGGTACATATGTACAGTATTCAGGTTAAGCAGCTGTGACACAAGGGTGAGACTTAAAATAAAATGTTTCATGCTTGCGACCGGCACTGAGAGCGCACTGTTGCACACAATCCCAGTGGGGCAGTCGTGGCCTAATGGTTAGAGAGTCGAACTTGTAACCCGAAGGTTGTGGGTTTGAGTCTCAGGTCCAGCAGGGATTGTAGGGGGGGGGATGACCAGCGCTCTCTTCCACCCTCAAAATGCTAAACGTGTGTGCGTGTGTGTGCGCGTGCGCGCTCTTGGATGGGTTAAATGCAGAGCACAAATTCTGAGTAGGGGTCACCATACTTGGCCACAAGTCACTTCACTGACTAGGGTTGGTTCCCTGGCCAGGAATCCAACTGGGCAGCAGTGGTAACAGCACTGTGGCCTAACCACTAGTCTTCCAGGGACCCATAATACTGTAGCACTGTAAATCTGTAAAAGTTGTGTAGATTGTGCTTTGCTGTCCACTTGTGGCAATTTCATGTAGGTGCACACTTCCCTCCATACCATGCCAATTTACAGTATGAGAGTATCTGAGCTGCAGAGATTTATGCTTATTTACCAATTGTATTTAATCCAGTTAGCAGTGTAAACAAATATTCCAAGCATGTCATCCCTAGAAGGAGGAGTATGAACCACTGTTTTCTTATTTTTATACAATTTCTGAGAAAGTTGTCTTCAAAATTTTCTTGCATCAAATAATGTTGCTCCAAATATTGCTTAACAGGTTCCTGGAGTTTAATATCTGGTGGGATATATTAGAAGAAAGAAGAGAACAATAAAGGAATATATTTATGCTTAACATTCCTTTAAAATTTCCCAATGCATTAAAAAAAGTCTATAAATCATTTGAAATATGAAAATGTCTTGCACAAAATAAACTATAGATAAATGCGCACTTCTGTTGCACTAGTAGCAAGGTTCATTTCATTGCAAGGTGAGTTGTTCCTTGCCTCTGGCACTCTCTTAACTCGTCAGAGAATGGAGGGAGGTACCTTGTGGTAGTTGTTCTTATTCCTCCAAGCCAGAGAGGTTAAACTTGTTGAATCATTTAATAATGAAGAGCTAAATCTCTGTCTCTCTCGGTCTCTTTGCAAAGCCTTTTCAGTGCAAGCCTCTCATCATTCTCAGCATGAGCTCTGCTTTTAGATTAGATTAGATTCAACTTTATTGTCATTGTTCAAAGTACATGTACTAAGCCAATGAAATGCAGTTAGCATCTAACCAGAAGTGCATAAGTGGCATATTTACAATAAATTACAAATAAGGATATATAGCTATGAGGGTGATATGTACAGGGTGACTTATGTATAGGAGGTGCAGTAGGTATTATAAATAGGGATAAATGTGATCTATATATGTATGTACAATCAGTGTACAGTGGTGAAGACGTTAAGAATATAATAGGAATGTGAACAGGATATACAAATGAATATATGAATACATTTTATATATATATATATATATTAATTACAGTGTACAGTGTGATCAGCTGTTCAGTGTGGAAACAGCCACTGGGAAGAAGCTATTTCTCAGTCTGTTTGTGCGGGCGCTAAGGCACCGGTAGCGCCTTCCAGATGGAAGGAGGGTAAATGGTCCGTGATTCGAGTGAGAAGCGTCTTTGATAATGCCATTCGCCCTCTGCAGGCAGTCTTTGTTGTAGATGCTCTTGATGGTGGGTAGCTGAGTGCCAGTGATGCGTTGGGGGGTTTTCACCACCGTCTGAAGGGCTTTTAGGTCTGTTGCGATGCAGTTGCCATACCAGACTGAGATGCAGTTGCTGATGACGCTCTCGATCGTACAGCGGTAAAAGTTCACGAGAATGCAACAACTTTCATAATAGCACCACCTACTGGTCAAAAGTTACAATAATATGCCAAAAATGCTTACATCTAACTGCCATATTTGATACTCCTTCTTCAAATTTTGTTCAGTCTTCACCACATTTGGCTCACATCGTCTTGAGACCTGTCTCAACAAAAGTTATCAAAGGAATTTTGTTAAACCCGTTCTCCTTTAACACACTGGCAAATGCAAAAAACAGGATGTGAAGGTGTATCTCAGCAATGCATCTATGTATCATCAGGAAACTTGATAAGTATCTTCAGGACCATGCCCTGAATGTACCCAAGAGGGTTTGTGACTGTGCCACCTTGTGGTCAAGAACTGTAACAACCTTCATTTTTTCCCCTCACATCATTTGAAGAGTTTGTGATAAATTCACAGTTCATTTTTCCTCTAATTTGCTGGGAGTATGGAATTCTCTGAAATTCAACTGTACTTCCTGTCGACCATCTTGGATTTTGTTAAAAACTGTTTATTCAATACTCCTCCTACAAAGTTTGTCCAATCATCCCCAAATTTGGCACACACCATCTTCAGAGTAAGCCTCACAAAAAAATTATCAAGGAATTTTGAATATTCCAAATGATTCGTTTGAATCTGATGGCGAAGCCACCAAACAGGAATGGAGAACTGACATTTTTGCTACTCCTCCTCCAAATTTTGTCCAATCTTCACCATATTTGGCTCACATCATCTTGACACCTACCTAAACAATGCTGCAGCAATGCCACACTGCTGCCCATTTGTTTATCTAGATCCTTCCTCCCACAGTCAGAATTCCACCACTGTCTGTGCTCAAAACATAAACATCATGAGTGAAACTACAAATCACTCTTGAGTCCCTTTGCCAAAAGTTATGGCTCTGCTTTCCTTTGATTGCTTAGGCAACAATTGTAGCATGTCTGTGAATGTGTGGCTCACTGAGTCTGAGTGCTTGGCCCCCGAAAATGCTGCTTGCAGCTTTTATTATTATTATTATTATTATTATTATTATTATTATTATTATTATTATTATTAATGTTTCATTAGTGTTTTATTGCCAAATAGACTTCTTAAAAAAAAAAACACTGATTTACAATTACTTCAAAAATATTGTTTGTAATGAAAGACATGACGCTGCTATGTTTAAGAACCTTTATTGTCGAGTACCTTTATACTTAAGGAAGCTGCGGCACACAGCTCCACAGCAGACAGCATGGCTTGGGGTTAGGGTTGCCTGGAGATCACTCTGGAGAGTTAAAGTGCTTAATTGTTTGATCCTGACTAATTATTTGGTGTCAGCACAATTCCCTGTTAACTGCTCCCTGGTGGATGCTTCACTTGGCCTGGCTAAAGACATTAGATTAGTTGTGCAGTGCACTATTGATATTTATAGTATCAGATGTACACTTGGGGTCAATTGGGCTCTGTTTTATTTAAAGGGCAAAAGTATATATATTTTTTTATTGTTTTAAATATACATTTCTTTTTTTTTTTTTTAATTTTTGTTATATTTTATACCCTATAACCTCCCTGTATTCAAAATTTCATTCCAAAGGATAGAGACATTTTAGATACATAATTATTTTGTTCATTTATTTGTCTCTGTCCATCCATCCATCTATCCAGCTACCCAGCCATCTATCTACTATCCATCTGTCTATCCATCCATCCATCAATCTGTATGTCAACCTATCTTTCTATCCATCCATCCATCCATCTATTCATTCATCATCCATCCATCTGTCCACCTGTCCATTTTACCATCCATCCATCTTTCCATCCATCCATTTATCTATTTATCCACCATCTATCCATCCATCCTGGCTATCCCTCCGTGTGTTAAGGGCATTGAAGCTGAGGGTGTTATGTTTGGTTGGTAATTTCTAAGCTGCGTTCCACAGAACAGAATTTGTGCAGCACTATCTTTGACTTTGTGGAAAAAAGTAATTTCCTGTGTGCTATTCACAATAATAGCCCTTATTTATCCAAAATTTATAGTAGAAACCAGTGCAGATTCAAATGCTGGAATCAATGCATGAACTGTTCTTAACATTAATGAGAATTCAGTGCCATTATTGTTACCTGACTCCATAACTTATTTGAATTTATTTGATGCAAATATCTAACCATGGAGGAATCTATTACCTCCAACCAACCCATCTTTTATAATAGAAATGGGCTGATTGAGTCTGGTGAGGTGATTTTTCACAACCAACTATAAATCACATCTAATCCCAGTCGCATGAAATGGACCTGCAAAACATAGTTGGTAGCAGTTGGGATGAGTTTGTTCATATTATACTATCTCTGATTGCACCCATGCCTGTGAGGGAGAGCTAATCCTAGCTGCATCAGAGCTCACTGTGCTATAGAATAAATGGGTTTTCTGAAATATTGAAGCTGTAAAAGAATCATTATTTTTATTTTATTTGATATAAAAATAATCCATGTATTGGTAGAAAGCTAGCTAACAAACATCTGGGCATGTTTGTTCCCAAATGCAGGTAACACAACTAAATGCACCAATGTTCTAATGATTTATCCTACCTTATAAAACTGTCCTACTCCAGCATGCACTTGTGTGTCTTCATAAAACAATACCACTAGTATTTGGTGCTACTTTAGCTACTCATCAGAATCTTATCAAAAAATACTTCCATTAGAAAACTACAGGTTTTAATAGGTTTAAATGCTTTAATCTTATGATCAGAAAATGCCTTCAGCATTCAAATATAGGACGAAGCATGAATTTATGGGCATGCAAAAGTGAAGTGTGCATGCGCAGAAACCCTTGGTCTCAATAGGTATGACAATTTGTCAGAACACCAGAACTAACACCAAGTATATTTGGTTTAACACGTATCATGTGTTAATGAAATATACTATGTGCCAATATCTATAAGTATTTTGTGGGGATTTTTAATAAAGACATTTCTTGTGCATCCTGCTAGCAGACTCCATGCAAAATTGAAAATGAATGAATTCTGGTCTATCGTCTGTAAGCAAATCTGTTAGAGTGGGTATAGAGGGGGCATTTTCGTGTAGTCTAGCTATACTTTGTTAAAATATACTCAATTCTGAATCCACTCTGTAGTAAAAGTAATTATTAAAATGAAAAAGGAAATACAAAATGTTTTTATGTATTTATTTATATATTTATTTTTTATAAGTTATTTTACATGTAAATGTTATACATAATACAAAGATTTTTAAATAGCCTGTCTTCAGTCCACACGTGAAGTACGACTTCACTTACATATACAAATGTACATATTCATAGTGAAATATTTTTCATGTTTTCTCACTGGCATGTCCAGTTCAATTTTCTGAACTTCCTAAATACATTACTGTCTTCACATGGAAAAAAATTCCTGAGTGGTGGACAACTCCCCAAACATGGTAGTGAAATATTAGTGGGTGTTTTGCTGGTACAAGTCTAACAGGTGGAGCAGTGTAGTCCTATTATTCAGTCCGTGTTTTTGTAGATACATTTCACATGCTGTGAAAATGATAGGGTGAATATTACAAAAATAAGCAATTAAGAAGGGATTTGCTTTTTCTACTCAAACTATTTTTCTCC